GGGTCAAAGGTCACCTGTGCGTGTTCGGTTCAGTTGTCTTGAAACTTTCCGACTTTTCTGACTCAGGAAGCTAACTTTTTCGAAATATCTCATTTCTCAGCACCTACCGTTGTCCTGATGTGGCTGTCCAGAGCAAAAAACGAATCTTCAAAGTCCTCCAGTCACTAGACCAAAAAAAAAAAAAAAAAAATTCCTCCAGTCTGAAAATGGATTGGGAGCCCTTCTGAAAGGAGACATTTCGCTGGGGAGCAAAAGAGAATATCTTCAATTCTCATCATGTTTGTGTTTTCTTTTTCAATTAATTTCTTTCTCATATCCTTAACCGAGACTGAAAAGTAGTCCGTCGCTATTGCCATCAAAGCAAACCTGATCGAAACATTCTTCTCATTTTGGCTGGTAAAAATAGGCGACCACTTCAGTGGAGAATTTTCTACTCCAGGAAGGGTCTGAAGCTTTGACAATTCTGCTCTAGGAAGCATCCTCGGATATGCTGGGTTCAACAAGTAACAGAAGAAAAGGGCGTCTAGCTACCTAACCCTGTCTTGAGCTCATTCCTCGAACAAGTCCGTGATTCCTTACGAATAGCGAGATCATTGATCTCGTGGACAACGGGCGAGGATGAGACCAATGACCCAGCCAAGCTCAGTGGGGTTGCCGACCACCAAGAAGCCTGTTGTCTAAAGAAAGTCGTCGTGAGCGCAATAGCTAGCTGTGGAACGATCGTTTCTTTCTTCAGTCATTGTTGGAGACTAAGCCAATGGTCAGTTCTAAAATAAATTCTCATTTGATAACGGTCTTGAAGACCATGGGATTTTACAAGTCATCATTGGTTGGCACCATGCCGATCTTTCCATGTTTGTTTACGTACAAATTGGTTTCCATATAGATGTTTGTTAAATTAACCTGTTTTGCGCAGGTTTCGCGCAAAGTTCTTGCCTGGATCCAGGTCTCTGTGGACCGGATCCATCATAATCGCTAACTATGTGGGCCCAATTTGAGAGTCGCACTTGATCAACGGCTGTGATCGCATATTGGTTCCATGGACTAGGATCTGGGAAAAAGGTTCGCCGAGTTTTGGTTTATGTGTGTGGGTTGAGTACCGCAGTTTGATCCATAAATTACCAAGTACCAAATATAAGATTGACCATCCAACTTTTGAGGCGCCTTGGTCAATGAAGCTAGTTGGAGCATTTCATAAACGCGAGACATATCTATTTATGATGGACTTCCTTGTTACTAAGAAGGAAATTACTTGGACGCCAAGTAGTTGTCGACGACCCTCTGCTCTTTAAAAGAGTATTCCTCATATATAATTTGGGTGCCGATCAATTAGTGTTGTATGGGACTTATCATAGATATGTATGTATGCGTATTGATGAACTTAAAGGGGCGAGCAGTGGCCATTGCCACCCTAGCCTCCCGATACTCAGTCTAATTTTTATTTACGCGAAAGCAAAAGAAATATGTTTCAATCGATATCCTAAGCGGATACGACATGTTCTTCCGGGACATATATGTCTGGCTCTTCTCCCCTAATGTATCAAAAGCAAAATGTTTCAAGAATGCAGAAGCAAAATGTTTTGAGAGATCTCTTTTGACTTCCATGAATTTACAAAGTGAACAACCAAGTGCTTGATGACTCGCCTTTTTGTATGCAACATTGCTTTTTATACCGGTTGGTGCTCAAATTTCATTTTTCTGTCATGGCATGAGCGATGATAGGGTTGAAGTTGCAGGTTCCATCTATCGAGGACACTGAAAAATGGAGATTTTGAGTGGGCAAAATCAAGGAAACATAAATTTGTGCATTGGACCATTTATCTCATGCGATAGGCTTCCTAGTACTATCCCATATATATTGTTTGTGTGATTGCTTTGTGGTGATGACTGGAGTTTCGAACTAGTGGCAGATAAATAACAGTCGACAGATCATTTATCAGAAACCACCATGCGTTTAATTTTCTATTCTGCCAAACGATGACTCAACGTCTAAATATGTCATTGGTGTGGTCCAAACCGTGTAGAAATCTTTTGAAATGAACAATCAAACTGACCATGTTGCATCTTGGCCGGCACAAGGGAGAGAGACAAGACTTCCAAATGTTATAAAACGTAGAGATAAGTGCATCGGAGTTTTAACACTTGTTGCAGAAGTGCAATTGAGTCTTAAAATTTTCAAAAAGTGCAATCAAATCCTTAAATTTGCCAAACTGTCCACATTGATGGATGGAAAATGGTTACCTAACATTTTTTTTTCACGTAATTTAGAGATGTCACATCCGAAAATAGGCCCATAAATTTTTAAAAATAATAATAACGAAGCATAAACAAAGTAAATAAAAAAAGAAAGAAGAGAAATATGGAATCACAGATCTGGGAATTGCAGAAATTACACAACACAATTCGGAGCCGCACCAAGAGAAACTAAAAACGCTCATACAACTCATCAGAAGAAAATGGAGTAATCAAAGCAGGAAACAGAGAAAGAGAAGAGCAAGGAGTCATTAGTCTTCGATTACCTGATGAGTGCTTAAACAACAAAATCCACTCACTACTGAACAAAAACATGTTCAGCCAATAGCCATTAAGAAAAGAAAGAAAGACAAAAGTAAAAAGATAAAAAGAAACAGAGGCACAGAGAATAGGGATGGGCAAGGGCTAGCCCTTGCTCTGTTTTCTGAGCTTAAGCTGGAACTGATTTGATCAATGGCCACGGCAATGCCAGGGCTTATTTGCGTCGAAACAGCGACCAATGATGTCTAATGGTGACGAGAGTTGAAGGCGGTAGTTGGTGGAGATGAAATCTTTTGCCATACGAATTGGAATGTTCTCTGGCCAAATTTTGTTGTTTGGACGAAGCCACTTTGAGTAGATCTTGTGATGATTGGAGTGGTGGTGTATGTTCGGAGGTTGGAGAAGAAGAGATAAAGAAATAGGGATGCTTGAGCTTCCGATGAGTGCAATTCAGAAAGATTGTCTTTCTTTCGTGCTTATGCTTATCGAGTTCACCTTGTCTTTGGCTTCAGTCTGATAAGTAGTAAATTAGTTCCTATGAGGTATCATATTATAAGAACACATTGAATCTAGCATCCCTTCGTCTCCTTATGACCCGGTAGTCACACACAGGATGACCTCTACATCACTGTTGTTTTTCTCGGCAAAATTCACCACATTGGCATTTTGCCTATCACCTTTGTTCCTCAACTTCAGGCAATCTCTCCTCATGGGCCTCCTTGTGATACTCATAGCACTTCAAGCTTGCCTTAGTTTATATGGTGTGATTTCGACCTGCTTTTACCTCTGCTATTGCTAGACCCCCAATGTTGATTCTTTACCTTGAATCACCGGTCTCCGCGCTATTTCCTATTCCTTACCATCATTTCGCAACTTATTTTACCACTCATTATAAAATAAGACGAATTTCACATCTTCCAAGGTAATTGTAGTTTGCCCTTGTAATAAAAACCAGTGTAGTGCTCCCATGACTCTAACAAAGAATTATGCCCCACTTTTTAATTATCTAGGGCCTCTTCAATGTTGTTCAAATTCATCACGAGCTTATTAAACTCATCTAGGTGGGCTATGATAGAAATACCTTGTCCTCCACATCATGAAGGCCTAAAGTTTTGCCCCCAACAATAAAACATCATTTTCCTCGGCCAACTCTATTAATTCATACCGATAAGTTTAATACGATCACACTCTTTACCCTTTTTATCAAGTCATATTTATCGATATCTTTCATCGTTTCCAACAATTTAGCCTTGCCAGATTTCCTCTATGCGATCAAAGAGAGTATCACTGTGCGTCCCTTTTGGAGTCCATTGTGCGGCTTGAAGAACTAGACAATATGCCACCAAATATTATCTTGGAAACGTGCAACGTACGCCTTTGAAGAAGTCCAATCTAAACGGTCAAACTTGAAGATTGGATTTGCTCTTTTCATGACCAAACTACTTGCGGCACAAAAAAAGAAAGGAAACAGAGACTTCTCAATGCCAAATTCACGTTTCTGCATATGTATATCACATGATTATTACTTAGGACTTTTCGCTAATCCCACAACTGCAATGGCCTTAACGCCTCAAATGCCAGTCAAAGATCACCTCTGCGGTTCAGTTGTCTTGAACTTTCGGATTTTTCTAACTCCGAAAGCTAAGTTTTCGAAATATCCCATTTCTCAGTACCTTTCAAGCCTTGTCCTAATGTGGCTGTCTTAGAACGAAAAACGTGTCTTCAAACTCCTCCAATCTGAAAATGACTTAGAGCCTTTCTGAAAGGAGACACTTTAATGGGAACAAAAGAAACTATCTTCAAATCTCATCATGTTAATTTCTTGAGATTTTTTTTTGTTGGAAAAAATCCGGAAAATATTGGGAAGTTCCCGAAAGATTGGCTATATTATGGAGACACGGATCCTATACTCAGGAAGATTGAATTACAATTGCTCAACATTTCAGTTCCTCTGGAAACATGGATGGGGGATGATTGGCAATAATTTCCTGTAATTTACTCTAATGCAGCCATTCACTCATCGTGAAACACGGTGAAGTTCGAGGCCTCTAAACGAGGTTAAACTCAGAAATTGATTTAATAAATAACCTAAACAGTGCTAAACTAAGACTAATATTCAGAATTTACAGAAAGACCACATTCATGTTTAATCAGGAACTGTAAATGACCGAGCTACTCAATACTAAACAAAAAGATCGGCAATGAAATGTGAAACTTTGTGACAATAAGCAGACGCTGAACAATATTTAATTTATTGCGGAAGAGGAAGAATTCATACATTTTTGGTCTAGGATGAATTAAAACGAACTGACGCGTACACGAAACAATTTAAGTTAGTAAGAAAAGGAATAAATATCTCAATTATAATATGCTTAATAGGGTCCAGAACAAAGGGGCCTGAGACCTCGTCTAGCTTGGTAACTCTCCGTGTCTTTCTCATGAGAATGATGATGACAAAATCATCTCCCCACAATTTGGAAAAGTCACACTTGGCTGCTTAAATTGGTGTCCTCTACCTATCAAGCTTTGATATTTCTATCCTCAAGGAAGCATCGTCAGAGATACTAGGAAGTAGCGGAGCTGGAATAAAATTATGCTTACAGAACATCAGAATTCTTCCCCTCTTCCACATAAATAACAATATTAAGGGACTCAGCCCATACATATCCCCTTTCTCCATATGTTTAGGTCCATGCACACACGAGACAGTGAAAATCATGTCCAGCTCGGTGTTTCGAATTCTTGTGCTTCTGGTATCCCTCACGGTACAAGCATCTGGGGCTGCATCTGGACTTGCAAGGCCTAACTGTACTGAAACGTGTGGGAACGTCACCATTCCCTTCCCCTTCGGGATAGGAACCGGGTGTTTCTTGGATGACTGGTACGAGATCGTCTGCCAGCCAAACAACACGGTTCCCATACTAAAGAAGATCAATTTACAAGTTCTCAACATTTCACTCCCCGATTATCGTGGATCCATGAACGGCATGATTAGGGTCAGTCTTCCATTAATTTACTCAAATGCAAGCTGTGGGGGCGAAGGACTTGGCGTGCCAGTGAGCTTAGAAGGAAGTCAATTTGTCTTCTCCCAGACATGGAACGTCTTTATGTCCGTCGGTTGCAACACCCTGGCAACAGTGAATAGTACAGAATCTGCTGTTGTCGGTTGCAGGTCGAAATGTGATGGAACCAACACCAACATTAGCCGGTATAGTGCTTGTGTCGGGAGGGACCAATGTTGCCAGACTACACTCCCCTTTAACCTTCAGGGCTTTAGTGTGGATTTCAAAGAAGAAGGTGGACCTCAGGGATGCAAGTATGCTTTCCTGGCAGATAGATCATGGTTCATGAGGTCTAGCGATACAGGTCTATATGATTTGCGTTTGAATGACACGGTTCCAGTGGTGTTGGAATGGGGGATTTCAAACGATACCAACTACAAACTTGATCTTATCCTGCAAGGCTATGGCTCAGGCTATCTTGATCCCTTCAGATGTAGCAGATACAGCCTCTATGGAGGGTTTTCAAGTGAAATGCCATTTATGCAGTGCTATTGCGGATGGGGTTATAGTGGGAACCCCTATCTTATTGGAGGATGCCAAGGTAATATACTTCATGCTATCCCATCGTGTATTTAAGGGCACCAGACAGAGAAGTGGCCTGTTCATTCCCAGATTTTTCTCTGAAAAGAATGCATTCGCACTGTTTAGTGATCACACACATGCTTATCTGCCTTCTTTTTCTTGTTTATCTGCCCAAGATTATACAGAGTGAATGCACTTTCAAACAAAATCGATTGAATTATATTGATAATAACTTACTGGAAACAAAGGAGAACAGGACGGTCCTTTCATTACAAGCATGATATTTTAGCTTGGGATTTAACAACTTTTGAGGAAATGGGACCTAATAGTCTCGCTAATTTTACTCAAGGAGATGGGTTTTGCTTCTAATATGTTTATTTTATCATCTGTCATCAGATATTAATGAATGTGAAGGTCCAGATAAGTGCTCCGGGATTTGTGTGAACAAACAGGGCGGCTATGACTGCGTCGCTGGTAGAAAGACAGCTATTCTTATTGGTAAGTTGATCTTGTAACTATGAATTTCAGACCGCTTCTTGTTCTCGAGTATGAATTTCAGACCGCTTCTTGTTCTCGAGTATTGTTTTACCTCACCGTTTGTTTTAACATGATTGCCCATTAGCTTATTGATGATTATACGTTAGTTTCAATTGACAGTATCTATCGAAACGGTCGCGAAACTTTCTATGCATCCTAATATTTGATAGATAAGAAAACACTTGAACTTTTCTTTTGTCGTCGGTTCTTATTTGTCGAAAGATATAAAAATTCCTACTTATTCTCGTCATATTTGAAATGGAATTATTACAAAGGAACTTTTTCACTTTCATCAATGGTTTGAAAAATTACTGGAGACAAATTAACTTTTCATGGTTGTTAAGATGATTCCATATGATTGGAGAGTCAGGTCGATCACTTCCATATGTACTCCTATCAATCAGAGTCACTTTAATTCTTGATGATAAGTGCCTTCATAGATTCTTGACAAGCAGGGCACATTTTCAACACTTTTACCCCTTAAATTTTTGCAATTCAGGGGTTGGGGCAGGCGTTGGGGCACTAGTTTTGTGTATTTTCTTGTGGAGGTTGTACAAATACATCAAGAAGAGAAAAGAAATCAAGCTTAAAGAGAAGTACTTCAAACGCAATGGCGGCCTTTTGTTGAAAAGCGAGCTATCTTCACCGGAAGGCAATGTTGAGAAAAGCAAATTGTTCAATTCCAAGGATTTAGAGAAGGCAACTGATAATTTCAATGATGACAGGATACTCGGGCAAGGTGGACAGGGTACTGTTTACAAGGGAATGTTAACAGATGGAAAAATAGTTGCGATTAAGAAATCAAAAGTGATCGACGAGGGAAAAGTCGAACAATTCATAAATGAAGTCCTCATTCTCTCACAAATCAACCATAGGAATGTGGTTAAGTTATTGGGGTGTTGCTTGGAGACGGAAGTCCCGCTTTTAGTATATGAGTTCATATCTAACGGGACTCTATATCAATATCTGCATGACCCAAATCAAGAGTTTCATGTAACGTGGGACACACGGCTACGAATCGCAACTGAAATCGCAGGAGCATTATTCTACTTGCATTCAGCAGCCTCTATTCCCATTTATCATCGAGACATCAAGTCCACCAATATCCTTTTGGATGAGAAATATCGGGCAAAAGTAGCAGATTTCGGTACTTCCAAGTCGGTTTCCCTTGATCAAACTCATGTAACCACATTGGTGCGGGGCACTTTCGGCTATTTAGATCCTGAGTATTTCCAATCAAGTCAATTCACAGACAAAAGTGATGTGTACAGCTTTGGAGTGGTACTTGTTGAACTCTTAACGGGGCAAAAACCAATTTCTTCACTGAGGGAACAAGAAGGAAGAAGCCTCGCGACCTATTTCATAATCTCGATGGAGGAAAATCGCTTGTTTGACATTGTCGATGCTCAAGTTTTGAAAGAAGGTAACAAGGAAGAGATTGCATCAGTTGCTAACCTTGCGAAAAGGTGCTTAAACTTGAATGGGAGGAACCGACCAGCAATGAAAGAAGTGGCAGTGGAGTTGGAGGGGATAAGGAAGCTCCGAAATCCTTCGGATATACTTCAAAATCAGGAGAACTGCGAAGCAACTAAATCTTATGATGCTGCTTTTCCATCTAAGAAGTCAAACATTGACATGGATGTCATTACATTTTCGGATGTTCAGCCGCTTTTACCTAGTGAGACATGGTGAAGATCTGTTTTGCCTCTTACCCTTATGAGTCATATTGCTCCGTTTGTCATGGAAATCGGTCTTCAGACCAAAAGAAAGAGAAAAAAAAGAATGGAGGAAAACTCGTTCCTTTACTAATAGGACTTCGGTTAGTTAGTCATTGGTTATGAAGTTATATTCTCGGAGTTCGGATCGGTCAAATGTTAAACTATACTATCCCAAATTTATTTAGGTCTTTGTAGTTAGCTAGGCGTTATCATTCAGTGGATGTGCCAATTTGGAAATACTTTGCAAATTGCAATCATCTTTATCGAGCATGATGCAGTGATTTTACTTGATCGTGAGATTCATCAATTACCTGCTGTCAATATAATTATTGCAGAAATTACATCAGTCACACAGGTATTCCTGCGGAGAAGCATCTTTGTTGAACCAGCCTTCACTAATCAATTAGCTTGTTACTTGCAGAATTTCATGAGATGTATCATGGGTTCAAGTCAGTTATGGTCATGTGTCGCATTTATTCATCATGGTTAAAATGACTTCAGCACAACCAAGAAAATAAATTTGAGCATACGACCATTTATATCATGCGATACACTTCCCAGTACCACCCCATCTATATTGTATGTGTGATTGCTTTGTGGTGATGACTGAAGTTTCGAACTAGTAACAGATAAATAACAGTAGAAAGATCATTTATCAGAAACCAACGTGCGTTTAATCTTCTATTCTGCCTAACAATGACTGAATGCTAACTATGTTATTGGTGTGGTCCAAACCGTGTGGAAATCTTCTAAAATGAACAGTCAAACTGACCATGTTACATCTTGGCCGGCACAAGGGAGAGAGACAAGACTTCCAAATGTTATAAAACATAGAGATAAGTGTACCGGAAGGTCCTAAAACTATCACAAAAGTGCAATTGAGTCAAGAAACTTTCAAAAAGAGCAATCAAATCCTAAAACTTGCCAAATTGATGTAATCAAATTTCTCCGTCCATTCTGTCCACATTGATGGATGGAAAATGGTGAGCTAAGAATTTTTTTCATGTTAATTTAGAGGTGCCACACATCCGAAAATAGACCCGTAAATTTTAAAAAAAAATAACAAAGCATCGATAACAAAAACAAAAAAAGAGAGAGAAATTTGGAATCACAGATCTGGGAATTGCAGAAATCGCACAACACAATTCGGAGCCGCATTAAAGAGAAACTAAATACTCTCAGACAACTCATTAGAAGAAAATGGAACAATCAAAGCAGGAAACGGAGAAGAGAACAGCAAGGAAAGACCATATTCATTTTAAATCAGAAGGTGTAAGCGACCGAGCTAATCAATACTAAACAAAAAGATTGGCAATGATATTTGAAATTTTGTATCAATTACGCGGAACAAATATTTAATCTAATGTAACTGAGCAAGAATTCACATGATTTTGGTCTAGGAAAAATAAAAAAGAATTAATGCATGCAAGGAATAATTTAAGTCGGTATAGAAATGAATAAATAACTCAATTCTTATGTGCTTAACGAAGTCGATGATAAAGGATCCAGAAAAGTTGTGACATCTTGAAAATCTGTCCATTTGAGATTTATGAAATACTGGGTTTTATGAATGTGCTCGTAGTTAGTTCTCGCTCGGAACTGATCATTCCTGGGATACTAACCAATAGGGAAAGGCTAACTGGGAATTTAAATTCGTGTGACTAAGAGGAAATTCGATCGTGAATTGATTTTCGACCATAAAATCGTCGATGTGACATTTTGAGCCACTGTAGGCCGATCCAAGGATAGCTAGGGGTCAGTTTGCCACTGTCATAGCAGTGGATCGCGGGTGATTCCGCTGGACCACGAAATGAATTGACGAACGATCCCGAACCTATGCCAAACGATCGTGCCCCTCGGATCTAGCGATTGTTCCTCGCGATTTAAATGACAACCGAAGTCGTCACGAACCGAATGAACTTGCACGTGACTCGATTTATTATCAGTCACAGGTCGAATACGCGAATTTCCCTAACAAGCCGCCCGTTAGTTTGAGAAACGCTCGAGTTGTGTTTAATAAAATTTAATTATTTAATTGAGCCCAAATTGGACATCGATAAATTAGGAAGTCACAATGGGACGTTAGGATGACGTTGTGGTTGGTACGTGCGATTTTGGATTGTCCCGGATCCTTCAGAAAAATTCGATTTCGATGAGAAATGAGGAAAATGACCATTTTGCCCTTAGGGATTTATAAAGGGCATGTTTTATGAGGGAGGGGCATTTTGGTCATTTTGCCCTAACTTTTTGGTTGGACAATTGTGCCCTTGGAATTTTATGAAATTCCCAAATTGCCCTTGGATATTTTTGGGAAAGATTCGATCTCGGCCATCGGTCTCAAGATAAGATCGAATCTGGGCCGTCGATTAAAAAGATTAGAGAGGGGCAAGATGGTAATTTGCCGGAATTGGTCAAATTTGACCATTTAAGACTAAGACCCACTCTCTCTCTCCTCATTTCCTCTCTCTCTCTCCCTCACGGCAGCCCCCCCCCTCATCGTGAGCTCTCTCTCTCTCCCCTCTCCCTTGGCCGTGACTCACGGCAAGGAGGCCGTCGCCGTCCGTGCCACCGCCGAGCTGCGCCGCCGCTCGCCGCCGTCCCCGCCGATCGCCGCCGCTTTCCACTCTAGCCGAGTTAGCCTAGAGTTCGGGTAAGTCACCCCCTAAACCCTATTTAGGATATCGGGTATTAACGGACTCGTTTAGGCGCGGTTTAGGGTAGTTTAGGGGTTGATGGAAGTGATTGTAAATGGATTAGAGGAGAGCTTGATCCTTTATTGTGTTCTTGGACATTCTTGTGGCTGTTGGATGGTCATTTGAGCTTAGGGGAATGAGTTTTGTGGTTTGAATTTCGGTGGATATTAACTAAGGCTCAGATCTTTGAAATTTGAGGTGAATCTCTGATTCGCGGTTACTGTACCCGTCCGGTTTGTTATTTTTGTGGAGAATTGTGTGGGCTGAATTTGAGGAAATTTTCTCCATGAAAGTTGCTTCCAACATCTTGAAGTATAACATATTTTAAATTTGGAATTTTTTGAGGCCATTTGGGTCGTACGAAAACCCATTTTCAGACCGTATTGAAACTGCCCGGAACACTGTTCATCCCGACCTTCTTATCTTGCCGAATTTTTATAAAATTTTCGAGATCTATTTTCAATAAACTTCCTTCACAAAAGTTGTGGGAGACTTTCTTTTCTATGACATATAAAAATTTCAAGGCTTTTCAAGGTGATTTGGGTATTGAAAGAAATGTATTTTGAGGACAAAACGGTCTGTTAGAGCGAATTGATTTTGGCCTGACTTCGAGGGACAAAAAGGCATGGTTGCAGATTGAACCGGATTTCGTGTTTTTTATAAGAAATGTTTATCAAGATGTTTTTTTTATATATCCAAAATTTAGAATTTTTGGAGTTCATTTACTATTTATTTTGATGGGATTTCAGTCACTGTGTAAACTGCCCAATTTTACCCCGATTCTTTGGATGTTCATTTTTATGAGCGGAATAGTGGGGGTGTCAAGGTTGATTAGTTGCTACCCTCGTGACTGGAATTGATGCTTGAATGTGTGTTATATGAGTTCATTTGAGGATGAATGAAGATGTTTCGGGGCTGGAGTGAGACTGAATAGAGTGCCGGACATTGTGGGATGGAATTGCTGAGCTTAGGGTTCGATTTAAGGACAAATGGTATCGGTTTGGTGTGTGGTAGTGTGACTGGATTGTGGTGTTTAATATGGTTGGAAATGAGCTTGGGAATGCCGAAATTATGCTATGGTCTTGGCTGTGAGGTGCCAATCGGGGTGAAAATTGGATATTTAGAACCGGCGATTAGTTGTGAGAAAATGTCGTGAAGGGCCGGAACTGATTTGCCGCCGTTTGGTTGGAGAAAAATGGCAATTTCTGTGTTCGATGTGTGTTTGAACTATGACTGAATTGTGATGGTGAAATTGGGTGTGTGTGATTGTGCAATTGATTGATTGAAATATGCTTGCTTGTGTGCACGCTTGGGCCAGACTGAATTAATTATCAAATAGGCCATGTCGAATGCTTGGTAAGCATGAAAAATGTATGTGAATTGTTGCGTGCACGGGCCACGTGTGATTGGCCAACTGAGTGGCAGGTGGTTGTTGAGCATGTGCATGAGCAAGAAAGTGAATGTGGTGTGGCATGTGCGATCGTGGGAACTGTGCCGTCCTGAGGCGTGTACTTCAACACGGGACGATGCCCGGTATTACCGGAAGACTGCCGACCTAAGGCGTGTACTTCAACGCGGGTTGCGCAGTAGGTGGTAGATGTTGAGCCTGAGGCGTGTACTGTAACGCGGGCGAGATATATGGCCTGAGGTGTGTACTGTAACGCGGGTCACTGGCGAGTGGTACGGAAAGGAATATGATGAGGCAAGCGGGAATACGTGAAATGTGAATTGAACATGCGTGTGATTGCATATGGTGTGATTATGACTAACGTCCAGGATGCAAGCAGGATAGGCCAGGTAAGCACAATTGATGTGCCTGCTATGTGATGATTGTGTGTGTGGTTGCGTTTTGTGATTGTCTGGAGGTACGTGATAGCCTAGGTGGGATTTAGGGTGTGTGCTTATTGAGATGTGATCTTATGGTTGTTTCAACCAACAATTTCAGAATCCCGACCTGAGCGATGAACCTTCCGCCGCTGCCGCAGCGTTTTACAATACCGTTGCACACCGACAATAACGTGGTAGAGTACCCGACAGACAAGCAGGAGGCTCAGGAGGATTCAGACTCGAGTTCTAAGGAGTCGGATTCGGACTGGACGCCATCTCGAGGACGTAGGGGCTAGAGTAGGGGTTGGGAGTAGGTCTTTTGAGGTGTACCATTTTTGAAAGTTAGGATATCCAGGCTATCGATCCTTTTGATGTCGATGGTTAATAGTTATAAGTTCGGTGTGCTGGTGCATATGTATGGTGGTTTTGTAAATTGTGAATATTGTATAAGTTTGGAAGAAAAATGAATATGTATCTTCTCCTTTGTTTACCCCAGTTTTTATTTGTCGGGTATTAGTGGCTTTCGCTGATCGTTTTTAAATCTCTGATAAGTTTAATTGGGTCGGCGATACCCTGGGACATCGCATTAATCGACTAGAGAAGTGTGTTGCGTGCTCGATGGGGTTCGGGGCGTGACAAAAGTCATTCATCTTGGTGACACTCCAAGTCTTTTTTATGAGAAAGATCATGTGATATCTTGAAAATTCGACCAAATTTGGTGATTTATGAAATGGTGATTTCATCGACGCTCTATTAGTTAATTCTCGCTCTGGCCTGATCACCTAGG